CTTCGAGGGCCAGTTATTTATTTTCTTCGGGGTTTTTTTTAAGAAAATCTTTTCAAATTGGCCATAATAATATTGTATTTCTCTTGGTGGTTTTGAAAGGCTACAACACAACTTAAGCTCCTTCTAAAATTTCAAACACGTTTTCGTATGTGATTTGCGGGTACTCTGGTGTGGCTTGCTCCTTCTTTCCTATCTATCAAACTTATCTCTCCTCCTTTAATTTTAAAAAAAAGCCTTTGTTCGGTTTGCTTCGCTCTTGCAACACCTCTAATCTTCATTACTTATAGACTTAATTTGTTGCAAATGCTGTAAAACCCTTGCTAAAACATATTTTTTAATAAACGTTTTCTAACAAAGCTATATATGTGCCAAGGAGCTTTAAACAACTCCTTGATTTGTGCAGATATAACAATCTAGCACTCTACAAACTGAATCAGAAGAGTTCATCCCACGTTATCTGGACAGACCTCGTCACCTCGCCCAGGGGAGACCAGAAGAAGTCAGCCAACCTGGACGCCTCGCGGGCATTTCTCGTATAAAAGCCACGCACGCACACCCACCCTCCCTTAGCGGGCCGTTACAACTAGCTGGGGTGGGTTCTTATTGTGGGCAGAGCTTGGCTGGTTGGTAGGCGAAGTTCGATCACTGTGACAGCTACAGAGCTACCCTCTTTACAGTAGCCGGGACTTTACATTATTATTATTATTTCTGGATGTAACGCGAGACGTTAGACTTGTGAGTGAACGTTGTAATATTCTGTATGTGATGTCGGTGCTGTATCTTCTTCTCATCAGCATCATCATCATCATCATCATCATCATCACCATCATCATCATCATCATTATCATCATCATCATCATCAATTTCGTACCGTGTTCTTTGAAATGTAAGTACATTCATCATCATCATCATCATCATCATCATCATCATCATCATCATCATCATCAATCATCATGCATCGTCATCATCATCATCATCATCATCATCATCATCATCATCATCATCATCATCATCATCATCATCGATGATGATCATCTATATTTATCAATCTCTAACCACCCTCTGTGGAATAGCAGTACATAACATTGTGCAAAAAACCAATTGCATCTTCTATATATCTATAAATTATTTTAAACATAGTTTAGCGTACTACTACTACTACTACTACTACTACTACTACTACTACTACTACTACTACAACTACTACTACTACTACTACTACTACTGCTACTACTACTACTAGTACTACTACTAGTGCTACTACTACTAGTACTACTACTACTACTACTACTGCAACAACTACTACTACTACTACTACTACTACTACTACTACTACTACTACTACTACTAC